ATGAATGTTTATTTGTCTACTGTTAGGAAGCTCTACTAGAAAGCATGCTTTAATAGGTACGGATTTATCCTAGATGCATCATCTGTTGAGCAGTACAAAACATCATAATACTTTCACCTTCGCGTTTTTTGGTGCAAGCTCAGACTTATCAAAGAAGGCTAAGAACAAGTGAAAAATTTCTCACTATAGCAGATCAGTTTTCTGAATGACCAGCCAACATCAACAGCGACACACTCATATCCTTGTAGTACTATCGATCATAGTAGTTACCAGTCGCCATACTGTATAAAACGAATTGCGTCAGTTTGCTTTGGCAACAATAATTATACATACATATTGATGAATTATGTGAGAAAGGTTTCTTCAGTGTATGGCCCCGATACCCAAATTTATTAAATATTTCGAAACACGCATGCTCAAGTGGTAAGTATAAGTAAGACTTTGTTCTATACTACCGTATACCGATTTAAAGACTTTCCTGTTTATACGTTTATAGTCTACTGTTCATACAGGGTGATACAGACTGTTGCCAGGAAAATTTTGGAAAACGATTTGGCAAGTGAAAAGTAAAAATATATATCAACATTATTCTTGGCAAAAATAGATTCGTTTTTTCGTACTTATGTATGTTGATTCTGCTAGAAAGGTATCTACTGGAGTTTTTCGTCCTGTCCATTAAACAAAATTAGATTACTATGTTTTAAAACCCATATGCATACTGATGGTGATCAAGTAACTATGTGGTGTCGAATAAGGAGTATTTAGAAAACGGAGGCGAGTCTGAACGAAATATCCCAATAGGCAGTTTTTAAGTTGACTTAATCAGACTTTTAGACCCTGAGACTAGCGTTTTGCAGAAACAATGGGCTTCTATTTTTCGCCAACATGTCAACACGAACGATTCTAATGTGTAATAAATGCTTTGGGGAAACAATTTTGTATCTCGATCCCAATCTGTTTTAGATAAGGTGAAGTTTTCTTTTATATTTCGGCGTGCTTACGTTTACATGTGCCTTTTATTTATATATTCCAACCATAATAGATCACGAATGACGAAGACTCATACTTCTAGGCTATATGTAACATTTACACTATGGATGCATCTTCTGGAGCTCTCAAGGGTTACATCCAAGCTCCCTCCTGAAACGATATATTTCCAGCATATTATATATATTACTCGTGCATATATATTTTCAATAGTTCGATATTATTAATGTCATCATTATAATTATTCAACATTGCATGGTTCGATCGCAGACTATTTATCACAGTAAATAATTTACGTGAGCTTAGTTAAAAGATACATGTATATACGCTGACAGGTGAATCAGATATATCTTTCCTTAATTTTAGTTGGTGTGTACGGTTTTACACGTGCCGGAACTTTTCAAAAAATTCCCAGAAAAACAAATAATTAATGAAACGTTGCCTGGCAAAGCCACCTTGAATATTATTTTTCACAAAAAGGTGGAAGTGGTCACTCAAGGACAATATTGTTATATTTGTTACTTTGCTGTTACGACGTAACCGGTTAAACACAGAATCGCAAAAATTGGGAGATTTTAATGAAATTTTCACATAAATAAATAATAATCTAGTGTAAAAGTGATGAATGTGAACATTTATCGAAACAATCGGGAATTATTATTTTGATTTGATTTTGATTTTAGCACCTACAGATATAGCCTGATAGGAAAGCATTTAAATACTAATACAATAAGAATGTATTCAAATACATTAGAAATTCGTGAGTCAGAATCAAGTTGACCCTGAAAATTCAAATATTTAACACTGAGATGACTTGCTAGCCCCTGCTCATCAGAAAATATTGGGGGTTGATTCACTGCCATGCAGACGACCGCCTCTGCAAAACATGCAAATCACTTAAAAATAGTCCACTGAAATGGTCTAAGAATGCTCAAGAAAGTGCTAAGTAAGTGGTACCCTGACCCTGTTGTTTCAAAAATAGGATGTATACCAATACGTACCATATAAAAGATATTTTCCCGTCAACATGATTTTAATACATTCTAAAGATGATTGAATCATTGTTTATGTATGTATGTATCTGGATACTTCATTAATACGCTACGCTACCACTAACTTTCCTAATACGTTAAATGTAAAAAAATGACTTGCGACATTTTGAACAGCACATCAGCACATGGATAGACTAATCGTAAACTATTGTATTTAACGCATTTTATCTCAAAAACGTTCTGGGAAGTTTATCTCTTTTATATACCTATTAGTATAATTCTTGTAATTTGCGATAATAACAGTTTAGCTTAATTTAGCGATCCCCCTGTATACTTTTGGCAATGACACACTGAGCAAGCATAAGCTTTCACATTGTGGTCATTATTAAAATTTATTAAACTGCATGTTTTTTACGGCAAGTTGCGTTGCAAAATTCAGGCTATCGGTCTAGTAACGATGATTTAACATTTCGTAACAATCATGTTAACGTATGTACGTTCATTCGTTCACATTTGTAATGGCTTATTGGATGTACCGGCTGGTCAATTCATTGACCGCTTTATAGGAACGTTAGGTAAAGAAAATCAACTGACAATGCCAAACCATTCGATTTGTTGCTTGCCGCTATATTTTACGTGATTTGATACAAAGGCGATAATAGCCTTTACAGTTGTATCTTAAATTTCTTAGGAATTATTGAATCGGTAATTTCAAAAACATCACAAGTCACGCGATTTTTATTTTTTGAGAGACAATAAATACCCTGCCATTGACAAATAAAGTAGTTTTGATGAACTTTTTTCGACTTAACATATTATTTACGTTTTAAAAGATTGAAATATCAAATATTGACGTATTAAGATTCCACATGTTTTACAGTACATAGTGGAGTCTGGTCAACACCTTGGGAAAATTGAATTTCCCGTTTTACATCTAACCATCAATCGGCCATTATGATGAATAAGGATTTATCCATCAAAAATCGGAAATCGGTTATCGGGGTTGTGCGGGCAATTCCATTTTTAGATTATCCATAGAAACAGCTTTGTAAAACATTCAGGGTATATTTCAAAAACTTTCTTAGTCACGTAAGTGATTTTGGGCAAAGCTGATGAGGCAAAGTGGACACTGTCTTCGGCCATAACCTCTTTTTTGTAGAAGGTGAATTCAAAATTAGTATTTTGGTGCTCATAAATGTGAAAAAAAAACAGATAAAGAATATTGGTACTGTTTTTGAAATGACCCGTTCAGGTGCCCGTCGTGCCACTTGACTATATTACTTATCGGTAAGAAATGTATTGACGGGGAGGTGTTTTGTCACGGTAATGACACACGAATTTCATGGACAAATGAACGATATTGCAGATAATTGGTCAGGTTTTTTTAGGCGGACATGCATTTTTATTTTCCTCACGTAAGAATTAACAACTCCTGAATACTCAAGGGGGTCTTCTGTCGCGGAGGGTTTTGTGTCTCCAACGGTAATTGTACTGACATAAATAATGAGTCCACTTGGTGTCCCTTTTTGCGAAAACATTCTAACAGCTGTATCTAGAATTAGACTGGCTATCAGTGGCGGATCCAGGAATATGTCGGCGATTGAAAATGGAAGACTAAGGAACGCTTCGGAAAGCGAATGTTCTGACAATTGAGACAATTGAAGAACAGTGGGTAGAACACATTTAGGGGATGGTCCACGTCTCTAGGATTTGGGCCTGCAAGGTAATGTTCGCACCAATACTGCAATATGCATTTTATAAGGGGGGCGCCCCCTCCAAATCCTAACTGTACATACAATAACGACTGAATTATAGTAAAACCAATCTGCTTATTTTTACATACAATAACGACTGAAGTATAGTAAACCGAGAGTACCTCAATCTGATTATTTTTAGTATCAACCCGTAACGAAAGTTCACACCAATGTATAATGCCGAGGCGGTTATATTCATTACAAATAAGTGATTGTCCAGCACATTACACGTGTGGAAGTATTTACAAATATACGGAAAACGTGTCAGTTTTGCTACAATGTCGTTACGCAATAAGTGTGTAATATAAAGTTGTACGCGAAAACATAGCTAATGATGTCTTTGGTGACGAGTATGTTTAAAAATAAACATAGGTTCTCCATACAGGGAAAAGGTTTCAAGTAGTACTGAACCACATTCATAAACAGGAATCTCGCGGATTCCCACGTGAATGCACTGGAGACATACGATCTGTTTAATATGGATGACTATAAATGGAATTTGATACTAATATATTTTTAGTTTCTACAGTTTACGGCTGACCACTGCGAGAATAAAAAAGAATGTAAGACAACGAATCATTTAAGATAAGCTTCTATAGGTAGGGAAGATGAGATATTATTGTGAGAAACTTGGATAATCCTCAATGCCATGGAAGCTTAAACTATCAGAGAACGCGTTAGGCAAAGCAATCAGGTGATCGCCTAATATCTAACGCAATTGCAAACTTGAATAATCATAACTTCGAATATCTTGTCATAAACAGGAGTGATTTCTTTATTATATAGTTAATTAGTAATTTCAGTTACTGACATGTGCGATATTATACAGCCAGTTTGGTGTTTTCCGCGCGGAAGTTACAAAATGTAGGAAACATGTAGAATTTAAGTATGTCAGTAGCTAATGAAAAGCATGCATCACTTTTCATTTGTTTATGTTCTAGTGTCTAGTGTATTTATTCAATGACTTTGATGACCTTGTTATGCACGGTATGATTTACACCGATTTTTCGCGTAGATATTTTTGTAAGTGCAAAAACATCAAAAATAACATTTCAGAGTCCTGACAATGCGACTACTAAAAACAACATGATCGCGCCATATTTTGACGGAGCCTCAGTTGAATATGAAAACATCTAAGTTTTATTTACGCGTAGGTATGCCCGGAAGCGTCAGCCCGCGGCTGCCATTTTAAATAATCAAACTGGAGAGAATATTTTTAGATATTGGCGGATATGAATAACACTTGAGTTTAAACTCCGAGTATGTACTCATGAGCATAAGCATCAAGTGCTAGTTTGTTCTCCGTTTTGTATGAATAAAAATATTTCGCTGGGAGGAGTATCTGCTCCTAGCACATAAAGTAGATACTCGTCCATACAAGTCTGCAGGATTGGGAAAAGATTTTGTTGGAACTCATGGAAGGCAACACAAATCCAGTACTTGCAAAAAGTCTAGGTAAATTAGTTAGTATTTTCTTCATAAATAACTTTACTTACATCTTCATATTGTTAGTAAAAATATCTAAAGTTTGCCATTAGCTGTTATTTTGTGCATTTGACATTTTTGTAGCTTAGAGACAAAAAAGGTTACAATACTACCTGCGAGCCTTTATCACTTGCCCATTTTTTATAGTAGATACTGTATGAATGTTTACTTAATTTTTCATTTTAGGAGCATTATCCGTCGGCATACAACAAACAGAGACAGAAATCAGCCACGAAGATAAAATCCCTAGGCAATCAACTTCTGCTTCTGAAACGAGTGCAGCAAATGATGATACTATTAGCACAGTACAACATGCACCTAAAAAAAAGAAACACAATAAAGTTAGTCCTCTCGAAGAATGTGAAACAAACGTTACTAAACATCTCTCGAATAACGAACTACAAAGACTAGTTTTGCTGAAACAACTGACAGTGTTAGAAATGAAAGAGGAAAAACTCAAGAGACAGCTAAACAGAGATGTTGATGAAGAATGTAATTCAAGCAATAATAATATCATTCACGGTGAAGATGGACAAGCATATTTCAAATTATAATACTCTTTAGAATCACTTACGAAATAAAAGAATTGTAACATGTGACATTTTTCTAAAGTGTTAATAATAGAAATGATAAATGCGTAATTTCTACATTTTACTTACTTCAAGCAAGAGCAACAATGATATTCGCTAACTCAGATCTCCTCCGTTGCCCCCTTCTTCTAATATTATTATTGTCCACCTCCTCTTCTGCAGAATACGCAAGTGGGGCCTCGGTTGGCCGCGTTGGTCAGAGTGTCGTGCTACTGATCAGCCGACCGGCCGGGCCGCGAGTTCGAATCTCGCCTTCGCCATGGATGTTGTGACGTCGTGTGTTTGTCCATAATTAGAGAAATATAAGTAACACACATCTGTGGCAAATGGATAACTTCCAATGCCAATTACATGTAATAAAAAAAAAAAAGAATACGCAAGTGGGATATCTTCTAATGGGAGCTCCATAGGATCTAGCTCATCTTTGAAATATTTTGCTACATTGTGTAATATACAACAGCATATGACAAATTTTGGAACTTTTTCTATGGATACCCGCACCTTATATTGTAGCATAGGAAATCGTTGTTTTAGTTGACCAAAACATCTTTCAATTATTACACGTTCCTTTGTAAATACATTATTATAAGCACGTTCTTGTAGTGTATTCGGATTTTTAAAAGGTACCATTAGCCACGGTGCTATGCCGTATCCTTCATCTCCCAAGAATAGTGCTTGCAACCTCTGAAAATTGTTCCTCGCAATATTTGAAATTTTTGAATTGCTCCAAATTCGTGAATCGTGAACAGATCCTCGCCATGAAGGATCTACACTTGTAAGCCACTCATCTGAATTGAATGTGGCTTGTACATTAATGCTGTGATATCCTTTGCGGTTAATATATTCATGGCTATGAATAGGTGGCTTTTTTATTTTTATGTGGGTACAGTCACACAGAAAAGAATATTTTGATTGCCATTTTTGTTTCGCCTCTATTATGTCGGCAGCAGTTTGAGGAAATTTTATCCACAGTCCGCATTTTTCTATTTTCTATCTTCTCAGTAACTCCCGTCACTACTTTTGAGACAGAACTTTGATGAACACCAACATCTTCTCCTACTCCTGATTGGAAACCAGGATCACCAACGTATCTCAAAAATATTTTAATTTTATCAATGTTACATATAGCACCACCCCTTCTTTCTCCAGATTCTGTACCCAAAAAGTGATTTGATATCCACTCTACGTTTTCTCTAGTAAATCGATACAACACTTTAAAATCACGATCACAGGTAAGTCTTCTAGGTTTCTAATATTTATTAGAACGCAAATTAAGAATGAACTCAGCCATAGCTGTACCATAGTCAAACTGAAGTCTGCTACATACCAGACTCCAAAATTATGGAGTACATTCTCCTTCAGAGGAGCATGAACAAATTTTTATTCATAGGAAAACTGAGAATAAACTCACAACAAATTATACATAAGAGTAAATGGAGCATCAGCTCCCTATTTTTATTCATATCACATGGAGTATTTGCTCCAAATTATTGAGAACATACTAAATGCTCATTTTTATTCATAGGGCCCAATATTTTGCAAATACATAAAGGATACACGGATCTTACGGTAAATATAGCTAGTTTCTTGAACAAATGCTTTAGAAGGCGCAGATATGCGTAATTCAAACCATACTTTAAGAGCGCTTTCAGATGAAGATCGTGTATGCGAGATACGCGTATCCGAGATACAGATATTACGTACAAACAAATTGGACTTTTCATACAGCGCTGACGATGTCCAGTATCGCGATACCAAATTTCTGTATCATGCATTGTCGGGCCGACAATGCGGAAGCTACTATACCAAACAGCGTCTGTTTTCCTATTGATGAGATGTTATGCGATGCAGAAGTACAAAGTTTTCGATCGTAATAATTCTGTATCCAGCATACTGTATCTCGCATACAGTTTATTGGTCTAAAAGCGCTCTTATATAAGTAGTAAGTAAATTCTGCACTTTTTCAAAGATGCGTGACAGTCCCGTTGCTTAGCTTAGCCAACACATTGTACCTACTCCATCAATTTTACTGTAATAACTGCAATCTGATATACACAAGCCAGACTTCCAGATCTCTAAAAGGAAGGATAACATCACACAAAAGTGAATCCAAACTTCATCCTGAGAGATGTGCTCTGACATCACATGTCAATACAACAGGACACTCGATGAACTACACAAGTATCAAAGTTCTTAATAGGGAAAACATCTACCCAAACGTTTATTCCTGGAAATATCCCACATTTTCATGAATAACAACTGTATGAACAAAAAGGCAGATGTGAAGCAACTAAGCGTCAATCACTCATATCAGTTAAACCGCGAAAAGTTAGAACACTTGCATATCTCTCCAAATTTTGATTCTTCACAACCATAAATTGAATCTGTTTTGTCCATTCAATTTTTTTCTTCCAAATTCCGTTCGTATAAGGAAATGGTCTTCCTGAGTCGGATCTTCTATGATTGCTTTCATCCTGCAGCTTGCAACTCAATCTGATTGCAAGAATATTTAAATAAAAATTTGATTGTTGCATAGGTATAGAAAAATGCACTTTCCAAAATAATATTTAAATCATGTGACAAAGAATTCAAACACCTTATTTATACAGAGCATTTGAGGATTGTTTGATTGTTCTTTGAACAATATGCTGTGATTATACACCTTTCTAGCCCATAAGAATGTATGGTCAATTTAAGTGAACAGGCATAAAATTATAGATTTACAAGTCACCAAAATAAATAATATCTAACGCACGATGCCGCAAAAACAAGTGTGACAACTAGGAATAAAGACCAAATACCGGTATTCTACTGGGGTCACCTATAGCTACGCGATGGATGGACCTATTGAATTACATATTAAAACAAAAATAAGCTAATGTATTTATTTAGTATACCTGAACTTTATTTGGAATCATTTTTCTTCAGAAATCTGGGGAGCAAGAAATATAAATAATACCTTGACTGCTGTTGCTATACCCGTGATTATTGTTATTGACCTAAAAATTCAATCAGTCGGCACAGTATCATACGGATATGTTAATACGTTTTTCTGCACTAGCTACATTGTTAAACAAATAAGTTAATATTGGTAATGGAACCTTGGAATGATTCCATACAATTCTAGGTGTCGGATTGTTTTTTTTCCAGAAAGATCTAAATATGGGCAGTAGTGTAGTTTACTAGAATTGGTTGGAGAAACAACTCTTAAAATTTTAGTCAAATGCTGGACATCATTACTCTTTTTAATTTAAGCTTCATAATAGGAAAACATTAAGCGAATGTCGTACTATTAGTACTTACTATGATCCGTCAATATTTATCATGGAACGTAATATTTATTGATCGTGTAGCCAGGACTTCAGTAATTATTGATGTATGTAGAAATTCAGTGACTCTGACTATATAGTCAGTAAATACTGGTCGTGTGAAATTAGCCTTACATATTAATAATAACTGACGTCCTGGCTTCACTGTCAATAAATATCACATTTCATGATAAATATTAGTGGATCACTATAGTCACGTTTCCCTTATATTTGCAGTTCAGTTCCGGTCTATTATCATTTAATGTCAGATTTGTGTAAACGGGTAAATCAAAATGTTGCCACATTAAGAAAAACTGCAATACACTTTTTTGGTGATTTCGTCAAGACTTCCGGTATCAAAAGCCCCACATGAATTTATTTTAATTTTTAAGGTTAAATGAAACGGTGACTCAACATTTTTTCCGTGATGTATTAATCACTATATGGATTTATTTTTCATCGAATTTTACAGCAACCATTCTCCATTTTGTTTTTGTACATCTGGTCAAAGTTAAAAGGATTCCTTTAGCATAGAAGCATGTTCTGTTCTTTAGAGGTACAGAAGCGATATATTTTCCGTATACTAATTCGGGGCAAATTTGAATACCGCGTATTCTTTTGGAAGCTGTCATGACGAGTATAAAAATATTTTTCAATAAATAGCAATAATGTCTATACAGTAGGGGATGTCCCCTCTACTTACTATTACTACTCAACCCCAGCGCCATTATACCCAAATTGGCTATGAAGCTGTACTATAATATAGCATGGAGAAATTTTATGAAAATGTTTATATATTTAACATCGACACAATTCAGATCGATTGACGAGAGGGCTATAGTGAGCACATCTCATTATACATTATATAGTATTGCTGATGCATTTTAAAGTTACTAAACTACCGACAGTAGCGAACAGATCCTTTTTCTAAGTTCATATCTCATTTTCAACAAGAAAATTCTTTATTATCAGAGACTATACGTATACAGTCATCCATACAAATTTCTATTCTGATGTTGACTTACTACGAGCTGCTGTGATCTAAATGACCTTTCGGGTCGATCAGAAAACTCGTTGTTGGAAAGAACCCATAAGTACGAACCTGTACGGAGTATGCGACGATTTACCGCCGCATGACAATGTAAACTGCAATGCGTGCGATCTGACGTAGCCGAAAGCCTATCTGTCGGAAGCTTGTACTTGTACTGGGGCAGCTTCTGGGTACCTATTCTGTGGTTTTGCCACTAGGTGGACAGTGTATGGCATTACGTCCTCAGTACCGACATTGAAAACCCATATATGATGCTTGAGTTGTGTATAATATTAGCAAAACTCAGTGTTGGAGCAATATTAACTAACCGTATCGATATATTCAGGTGTATATCACGTGAATTTCCAAATTCAGTACATCCATCACCAGCATCTCAGAATGTAGAAACTAGGTCTCCTTCACGGTCGCAAGTAGCAACAGCCATACCACAACAACACCAGAAGGATTCCGTTGCACGTTGCGCTTCGTAAAAGTCATGAACGGGCAGCTGTTACATAACCCAGCAACGCAAGATGAATCTGGGTCATCGTACGTGAAATACGCGACGACCTCCATTACAGAAACAATTGCCGAGCCGCAAGCAACTTTGCCAAAATGTCGAATGGTGAAAGTGATGCGACCGGCAGCGCCAGTAAGCGTCAAGGTCGATAATCGCTGACGGTGTACTGGAATTTCCGTTAAAAATCTTACTCAATGATCTTTATCAGGGCGTCCTAACTCACAAGGTTCCATACAAATGTGGAACGCGTTTAATTTTCCAATCTAATCAAGCCGTTAAGTGTCAAAATTAAAGTTCTTTAGGGATTATGTGTAAAA